TCCGCAATCCTCGGGTGTAGCAAATATCCATGGGCGGCGGTATTCACTTAAGATCAGCTGAACCGCCTGCTCGCTTGGCAACTTGTCATATAAAAAAAATATAGCTGGGGCACACTATTGAAAGGTGGCAACAACGCATTTGTAACCCTATGGGTGTTTTAAAGGTCCATGGGCGGCGGTTATTACTTAACACCAGGTGAACCTCAAGCTCACTTGCCATAAAAACAGGCGTTGGTTACACGGATGTACGGAGTTGGGTTTCTCGTGAGCGACTTAGTATGTCCTTGGGTGTACTAACTGCGCCTAGAAATACGCGCGATACTATTCGATGCGATGATTAATGCATAGCGTCGGTCGATGAGTTGTTTTGTGCACTCGTCTGTTGCATTTGTTGTTAAAAAAATGCTATCAGCAGTTTTGACAGCCAGCTAAATTCGCCGTAGTCGTAATTTTAAACCCACGCTTTCTATTCTTGCGCTAATTACCGCAAACAACGTTGTTATATCAACAATAATTTAGTTCTAACAGGAGTTGCAGAAGGTGTATCGTGTGCTAACTATGATGACTCACGGAGTTTTGGTAGTCATTAAAATGAAGGTCATGTATTTATAAGCCAACTTTTGCAACCATAGGCTCTTTTTTTTGTCAATGGTTATGACGCCATATCGTATCCAATTAGGAATGAGGATTTAATGTTCAACTGATTTATATTTTTTTCCTTGAAATATCCACACATGGATATGCACTTATTTAGACTACGATTTTAGTTTAAGATAGTTGATAACCATAATAACGCTTAGCTGTATAGAGTTACTGCCGAAATGTGTCAAATTCGTTTTCGAATAATATGGTACAAGATTAAATTCTAAATTTTGCAACGCATCTCCTAACTTGGGATCGATTCGCTAACAATTGAGAAGATATCGAAGAAAGACAAAAGTACTACTAAATCTAATTAGAATAAATATTAATTCATACTTTCTGTCTTAAATCTCTATTCATAGAAAAGTCAATTTTTTTTCTGAAACTTACCAGTCTCGTATCGTTAACAGTAATATTTGATTGGTGAAAGACCACGAGGACCATTGCATTGATTCTTTTGATGATGTATATTCAAATAAACGTGCCAAACCTTTGTTAATTTTGGCTATACTCAGTTTGCGCTAGGTCTGCAAACGTTCCCATTCACAACGTAATAACGAGCAAGTTGACCGCACGACGAACAGCTATAATTTAATGGAATGGAAACGGTAGCTTCATAATTCTACCGCCTTAGTATTTTTCGCTTATATCTTTTGAAATTATATCTTTTTGTGACAAGTTGGCGGCAGGCCAGGACCTCACAGAAGACCGGCGTGAAGTGGAAGTACAGTACTTTCGCGTGTCGTCTGGTGAGTGAGGTAGCTGGAGCCCAATTTTCAAAAAGGTTGTCATCTGCAAACCTATGGATGTAGCAGATGTCCATGGGCGGCGGTATTCACTTAACATCAGGTGAACCGCCTGCTCGCTTAACAACTTTTCACATAAAAAAAAATATTTAACGCTTCCATCGGCTTCCCGCACACTTTCATAGATCGTCACTCCATCTAGTGGGGTTCGTCCTACACTACGATGGCTAATACGAGGCAGCCACTTGATGGGAAGTTGACGGATTCAGGTGGCTTAAGATTATGCTACGTGTGGTTTGTTGGGGAGGCTCAACAGTGGACTAAGTTTCAAATGACGAATGATGGTTACTAATGTAACAATTAGATGAGGATTCCAACGAACGCAAATTTACGAAACAAGATTTGAATTTGACTTAAAACTTTTTGGAAGTTTCGAAAATGAAACCCCAGCCCATTCTCACGAAAACTAATTTAGCTACATTGTTTGAAACGCAAGATACTTTAAAAGTTATACAGAAACGGCAAGTGCCATTTTTCGACTAAGGAACCGTCGCTAACAGGATAGGCCACTTGGCCTAATTCGCGGCGCGCGTCACCAGTTGCGTTGGGCCAGCGTCGAAACTGATAACACCCGACGAGGTCGACGAGGAACCCCTCTGGACGACAATCATCTGCCGTTCGGCCGATGACTATATGAATTGATCAGAACCACATTAACTTCACGATGTAGATGCAACTAGAAGTTAAACGAATTTGGATCGTTTATATAAATAGCTCTTGCTTTATAAAGCAAGGAAAGAAAAGAAAAAAAAATCTTCGTTTTAAGTGATATGTGTTCAAAGGTCGTGGTGCAACTACAAGCTTCAAACTTTACCGTCTGTAATTAGTGGGCAGTATCATCTTTTGAAGATTAAAAATGTACATTATCGTTGGATGACAGATTTGCCCCGAGCAAAGGGCGGTATTGATTTGGATATTACAGCCCACTTTATTAAAAGGTCGCATCTGCAACTCCACGGGTGTTAGTAATGTCAATGGGCGGCGATTATCACTTAACACCAGGTGAACAACCAGTTGTCAGCTTCTCACATGAACGGGATAATAAAATAGGTTTCCGTGTCTCGAGTCGTGGATTAGATTGTTTCCTAAAAATTTTCGAATTTAATTGTCCACGTATTGCCCAGGTATACTGTGCAGCGCACAAAATGCCTCGTTGTCGACCAATCGAGAATATATCTTTTAATGATATGAGTATGGTAATCTCATTACAGTTACAAATACGGATCAAGAATAATTCTTCTATGGATCGGAAACTTCCGTTATAAGATTCAATAGTTTTGTCTGCGACATCGATGCCGAACGGAGTTAGATACCCAAAAAGGGGGCGGATATTATGTGAACAGCATATTTTACTATATCTTGAATGTGTGTGTCAATTGTTATAAATGATGGGAAGGAGGTTGTATAACTCTCCCCTCATATTATTAAAAAAAAAACAATGTAGGAAATACAGGTCTACCCAATAGGTCTGGGCAATTATTATTAGGGATTTATAGTTGTAACAATGGCTCCAAGTTGTTACAATAGATTAATAATTTCGAAATAGAATCTTATATTATTATTTTGTTTACATATAAGTGGACCATTTCCGATATAGAATTAAGAATTATCATCAAAAATTATTATACTCGGACCTATTACAATGACTCCTGATGTAAGTGAGTGATGGAGGCAATATTTCATGATGATCATCATCATTTCAACCTGTTAGAGTTTACTGCTGAACACAGGCCTCCCCCATAGACGGCCGCGAAGCACGATCCTGAGTCACCTGCATCCATCGACTACCCACACATTTTTTGTTTCTGCACATGTTTTTGCACATGTTTTCACTGTATTTAGTAGTCGTCCTGCACTGCGATGGCCAGTACCAGGCTGCCACCGAAGAACCTTTCTTCCTTATCGATTATCGGCAATTTTGCAATCGATTAATTACGTATTTCGTTACTTTATAGTTTCACCAGGAATATCATGTCGGCTAACAAAAAACTATCATTATCCCCCGACATTTTCTATAGAGTAGATTAAAAATCATCGCATAGCTCATTTTATTGGCACGAGTCGCGTCACTGAATATATTCAAAGATTATAATACGTATATAGGCACTAGCTGCCATTGTGTCGAACTCATCATGAATAAATCGTTGGAAGAATGGCTCATTATCACTAACGTGTCAACATGTTACTGCAGATTTGTTACTATAATTTGAGAGCAAAATTAAATGTATTAATTAAAAGAACGTTTCTTTTTTATCAACACTCGTCAATCTTCATTCTCCTGAACAATTGATCGAATTGACGATAGAACGTAATATAATTTGTGTATTAAGATTACGAGTTAAAGTATTAAGAGGTATTAAGATAAGCAGTTAAATGCAGTTTTGATTTCACGTTCTTGTTACATGTAGATTTTTTACTAAAACAAATAAATAATTAATGTTAAAATACTTTTTTGTAAGCAGTTAATTGAAACTTTATTCGTAAAAATAGTAAAGTGCGGTTTTTCACAGTATTCGAGGTTTTTGTCCAAACTGATGTCATAGGAATAAATGATACAATACCTACGGTTTACTTTGTAATTATCCCTTTATCATTAGTTACTTAAGATAATATTACTACCGTTTATAGTATATATTCAGTAGGTACTTATAGTGTGGAATTTATCTTACGGGTTCTCTTCGCTACGGGTTCTTTTCTCACTTGCTTTATTAAATCAAATCATCTTTTTTATCAGAATTGAATGGTTGAATAACTATTACATTTAATGTACGTAAAGTTTATGTGAAAGGTTGCCAAGCGAGCAGACGGTTCTCCTGATGTTAAGTAAATCCCGCCGCCCATGGACATCTGCTATACCCGAGGGCTCTGGATGCGTGGACAACCTTTTGAAAATTGGGCTCCGGCCACCTCACTCACCAGACGAAACGCGAAAGTACTATACTTCCACTTGACGCCGGTCTTCTGTGAGGTCTTGGTACTTACCCGGACGAGCCTGCCCATTCGTGCAACAGCCTTCGTAAAAGTATCTGTAATTTTCGTAACAGTATCACATTTATCGGTGCACTTGCATCCATCGATTTCAATCAATGAATGCAGGTGCCTCCGGATCGCGTTTCGTGGCGGCCTGAGGGGGGAGGAGGAGGGGTATGTTCAGCAGTGTGTAAGTACACTGGCTGAAATCATCTATCGATATAATATATCGATATTTTTGATTTTATATATCGAGTTTTTCAGCTGATATATTTGGATTCGATATATCGATAAAAAATGTTCAATATTGAAAATCGTATCAAAAATTATATTTTTTCAAATTCGAATCCGGCACAGAGGCCGTAAGTGTCAAGTATTTATTAATAGACATACCTTCTTTTTTTTTTTCTGTTTTCATTACTTGACATTTTTTTGGATAACGGGAAAACTAGGACCTGAATTAAATATCGATATACCGATAATTTCTCTTCGAAATGTACAGGCCGATATTGATATTTTTATAAATATCGATATATCTGTCTATTTCCCTATCCTTGAACGGGGTCTCGGCTCACTTTGCAGGTCAGCGATGGGCGTGGGGTACACGGGCGTGGGGCTGCAGCACTCGCGGTCGGCGGTGCTGCACGCGCAGGTGCCGCCCCACTACAGGCCGGTGCTGCCGCCGCACGCGCTGCTCAACAGCACCTCGAGCGGCAACGTTCCGCACGTGGTGAGTTTTTTTTTTATGTGAGATGGTGGCAAACGAGCTGGCGGTTCACCTGATGTTAAGTGTTATTTTATATGTGAAAAGTTGCCAGCAGACTGTTCACCTGATGTTAAGTGAATACCACCGCCCATTGACATCTGCTACACCCGAGGGTTCAGATGCGTTGACAACCTTTTGAAAATTGGTCTCCGGCCATTCACCATACGAAATGCGAAAGTATTATACTTCCATTATACACCGGTCTTCTGTGAGGTCGTGGTACCTACCCGGACGAGCCTGCCCATTCGTGCAACAGCCGAGGCTGCTGCGTGGCCCTACCACCGATAAATAACTGCCGCCCGTGGACTTTTGCAACACTGATGCGTTGCCACCTTTCAATAAAGTGTTGGCACTTGACTCCTTTTTTGGTTTCATTAGGGATGTAGACGGGGACAGGTGTCCCACCCGATGGTATATGTGATACTTTAAAATTTTAACCCCCATAGGACTGGTCCTAAGTGTCAGAAAGAAATTTTACTGTATTTTTAGGCTTCAGAATAAAGGCGTTACTATTATTATTAAAATTTTATGTTTTTGCTAATCCGTCTGCTGAATTCCAACAAAAACTCACTTAAAGAATAATTTCTCGCAGAAAATAAAATTAAAGTGCAGATAATTGCGGTCTAGGTTTAGTTTAGATTTGTCGCATCAATTTTTTCGAAGTGAATATTTGAGTAATAAAGAAGCCTATACAGACGGCCTATGTAAGATTATTATGAAATTATTTATATAAAAATTATCTCAGTCTTTACGCGATAAATTAGTGCATATAGTTTCATTTGACAATAGAGTAATTATGCTGTTTAGTTAAATAACTTAGCCAACTTTTTTGAAGGCTAACGGCCGGTTTCAATATTCTATATACAAATAGATTTGGTTACTGGCGATAGATATTTGACATTACCTCTATACTACTTAAACGTGAAAATTCTGTCTCCAGTAATCAGTAGATAGAATATTGAAACGCATGAATGTATATCGAAATATGTAGCGTCTGTTGTCTAATCGATACTATAAATAAATGATAAAGAAATATTTCAGGACACATTTTTTATATAACGTTTTCTAGTCCTAAAAACTATACTACTCAACGCTTGTACTATGGGTACCAGATAAACATACTTGAACATACTATACATACATACACACACATATTATACACATATAAGACACCAAGACACTGGAAAAACACTGTTCATCACACAACATTTTTCCAGTTGTGGGGATCGAACCCACACCCTGGCGCATGAAGGTCCACTACCCGTTAAACCAATCGGCTGTTTCCAATCGCGCTTATAAGCCGTCGTCTCGCCATTCCAGGGGGGTCCCCGCGTCCACTTCAAGCTTCAGCCGCAGCAGCTGGGCGAAAAGAAGCGCTCGCCGCCCTCCTCCCTCTCTAACAGCAACGGCAAGAGCGTCCGCCCGCAGCCGTTCGCCGCGGGCCTGAAGCGCTCGAAGTCGCTCACGTCTGCGGACACGCTCGCCAGCGGCATGGCGGCGCTGGGGCTGGCTGCCGACGCGGGGGACCTGGGCACCTTCCCGCCCGACATCCAGGAGTGCATCGACAAGGCGCTGGACGGTGAGATGACTGAACGACATGCAGCCGCGTCTAGTCTTTGTTTCACGTGAAACGTTGTCGAGCTAGGTGGCGGCCAGGAGTGCATCGACGAGGCGCTGGATGGTGAGACTACTATATGAGTCATAAAATGCAGCCACGTTGACTTTTTTTTTTCTTCGTTTAGTTTTTTTACGTGAAAAGTTGCCTCTCGACGGTGAGGCGAATGCTGTTCTTGTTCGTCTGACGTTGGGGTCGTTCGTTATATAGCTTTGGAGTATAAGAACACCCCGTGCGTGATAATAGAAATCGTTAATCGCCAAGAAATAAAGATTATAATATTTTTAAACTATAAAAAAAATATAAACCAAAAAAAGGAAACCTAGAAACAGGTACAACTAAAAATCCATTCAGTCCTTTTTTTATTTCATTTCGATATCTGATCATACGGATTTAGACTCGCTAATGGTAAACGGTATACAATGTCCATCCGTGTTTCTAGATTGGCTGGCAACTTATTCACAGAGAAGAAACTATCTGTTTCGATGGAAGCTATATCTATTTATTAGACGGTATGTTACTACATCTAGGAATAGGTACATGTTCGGTATGCTCTCGTGAGCGTTTGGGTGTGGTAGTGGTGGCGTTCGTAAGGAACGTTTGGGTTTTGGTGTGACGCAGACCCGAACGCGGTGGCGGCGCGCACGCTGATGGACGCCGTGGGGCACCTGGTGTCGCGCGCGGTGGAGTCGCCTCGCTACGCGCTTCCCGCCGCCCGACGCTGCATCGCCGTCGTGGAGCGCGAGCAGACGGAGACCTTCCTCGAGTCGCTGCTCAACACCTGCCAGCAGTGCTACCACGACCGCGACAAGGTAGGCAACGCGGTGGCTTTGCTTTTCGCTCTCTCTCTCTCTCTCTCTCTCTCTCTCTCTCTCTCTCTCTCTCTCTCTCTCTCTCTCTCTCTCTTGGCCGCTAGTTTCGGGCCCTGCTCGTTGAACATCTCCGTGTGTCAATTTTGTTGGTTTTCTTTTATGTGATTAGGTGGCAAATTGGTTTTTCACCTGTTAAATGATAACTGCTGCCCATTGACATTTGGAACACCCGCAGGTTTGCAGACGCGTTGCCACCTTTTAATAAAGTGGGCCGCGGCTGCCTCACTCGCGGACGAAACGCAGAAGTGGTACTTACCATTCGTACAACAGTCGAATCTGTTGCGTGGCTCTACCTACATTGGAGTAAGCACGCTATTGTGTACCTATTGTGTAGCTGCTGGGCGCGGTGGTGGGCGGCGGTCGTCCGCGGCTGATGGCGTTCCTCTCGTTCCTGCTGGAGATGTACTGCCAGCTGCGGCGGCGGGCGATCCACCGCCGGGGCGCGAGCGCCCAGCCGGGCCACGTGCTGCTCACGCTCATCTGCAAGTGCTGCGAGGACTGCATCCGGCAGCCGGTGCCCTCGCCCAGCGACGTGAGAGAACTTTGCCACTCGACGCTCGGGACAGCCTGTGCATTGTTTCAACCGACAGTTTGAGACAAATAACCATAAAGTTAGCTATAAAGCTAAAGCAAAGGCGGTGTCAACTTGGCTCCTACTTTCCAGAATATGTCCTTGGAGTTTACCGACCGCCTTCAGTTGTTGGGAGTCGAAATATCCTCAGACCTCAACTTTGGGCGGTTCATTGAGTCTAAAGCCAGGGTAGCTGCAAGGAAGTTAGGCGTCCTTGCAAAGGTGCGACGGTACTTCACGCCGGGACAGCTTCTTGCTCTTTACAAGGCTCAAGTCCGATCGTGTGTGGAGTATTGTTGCCGTATCTGGGCCGGAGCTGCAAAATGCCATCTGGCTGCCTTGGACTCAATGGAGATTCGTGCGGAAAGGCTCATTGGTGACCATAACTTGGTTAAAACCAATCTCACTAGCCTTGAGCACAGGCGCAGAGTCGCCAGCCTCTCGGTTTTCTACAGGATACATTTTGGAGAGTGTGCGTTGGAGTTACATGATCTTATTCCTCCCGCCCCTCTCCATCATCGGACAACCAGGCGTTCGGCGGGGCTCCATCCTTATGCTGTCGACGTCCCACGTACAAGAACAAAGCGATTCGCTTCTTCATTTATCATCCGTACAGCTAAGGAATGGAATAGCCTGCCGGCGTCCGTTTTTCCGTCCAAATACAACGTTGGCGTCTTCAAGGCAAGAGTGAATAGGTTTCTACTGAGCTAGCGCGCTTACCATCAACGGCTGCATCGCCACTTACCATCAGGTGGGGTGGCAGTCAAGTACTAGCCAGTTCTTTAATAAAAAAAAAAAAAAAAAATTTGGGACTCGAATTCCATTAAGGAATTGGTATCTGTATGGTGTACAGGTAGGTATGTCAACACTGGATAGTCTAACGTCCATCTATACACATGTGGTTATAGTAGTACTGCTTTAGAGGTAAGAATGGGTAAGTTCGTCCTGAACAGTTCGAACTCTCCGATTCGTTAGTGCAGAACAGTCATGTTATAGATCTAGCTCGAACGTTGACTATAACATTTTTTTCTCAACACTCAACTTTACTCAGCTTCACGAACGTTTGAGCACGAACTCATATCAGTCTGTGGCTGCGGCTGGCTCGCGCACAGCCGTCCTTATGGACAGTGGTGGATTTGCCATAAGGCCCAATAGGCCTTAGGGCAAATCCGCTATATGCCCGGTCCTATGGCGGCCAATCGTGACGAAAATTCACTGATGATAACAAGATACATGATGGGCGCTGAGAAAGGGGCGGCTGGAACTTGCCACATAGGGCTATGTGCACGACTACAAATCCTCCACCGCTCGTGGATCCGGTTGCAGTAGCCTAGTTGCCCCCTTGCAGACGGAGAACCTGTTCTTCGTGCTGACGTACATCGGGCGCGACCTGGAGGCGCAGCTGCCCGGCGAGCTGGAGCGGCTGCTGAGCGCGGTGCGCGACGCGTTCCTCAACACGGCCGCCGCGCCCTCCATCCGCCGCACGCTGCTGCAGCTCATCGAGCTGCACGCGTCGCGCTGGCAGCTGCCCGGCTGCGCGGTGCTCTACTACTACCCCTCGTCCAAGTGAGCCCTGAGCCCCGCTCCCCGTCCCGCCTCCTCTGACGTCTTGACGCATCACCCGTCTCTGTCTCCCTGCCCAATCGTTGCGAGCTATCCCCCCCCCCATTCCTCCTCCCCTACCCTATCCTCCCTACCTCCTCTGCGATCTAGGCGCTGCCCCTCTCCCTTTCTCCATTTCCAGACGCTGTGAGCAACAGGCCCGAGCGTTGCGTGGTGTCCTCCATTCCCTCTTCCTCCTTTTCTCCCTCGTCCAAACGCTTTGAGCGTCGAGACCGGAATTGCGGCGAACCTGATGCGTTTTTCCTCGTATCTCACGTATTTTAGGAGTTGCGAAGATACTCTTGTCTAGAGATTAGCAGGCGAGGTGCTCGCAGCGTCGGAGTGTTGCGCTACCACTGAGCTTCTCCTGTGGAGAGAACTGGCAAGGTACTTGCCCGCTGTTCGGTATTTCGAAGGAGAAATTTGTTCCTATTGTCTTCTTCACGCGGAATGTCTCCTGTGGACTTGGCAGTTTGCGGATGGAAAGGGATCTCTACACATTTAGGGAAGCTGATGATGTCTCCGCTCCATTGGGTTGGTAACAAGTCGGGGATGATGCTTTTGGAAGTTGGCAGCTGTTTAAGGACAAAGCGAAGGAAAGCTTAACCTGTACAATATTAAAGCTATTATTATGCTTGTATTATTGTGTCTAGACGGCAGCTGCGACATAATTTAGTACTATAGTAGCATAATGAGCTGTATAATTTAGCGCAGAAGCTTTGACCGCGAATAGCTTGAAAAAAAGATGTTTTTATACTTTTATAGCACTATGTTATTAGGTTAAACAAGTCCAGTAAGTGATGAGGGCAGCCCCATAGGATAGATTATTTCGCCATACAAGGGCTATCAGCATTTCACAAGTTACGGCCGCTGGGGATTTGTTCCAACAAGCTCCGTTCAGCGAGTTGTTCCTTTTCTTTTGGCCATTGCAATATGTACTCTGTTTAAGAGTGTTTCAAGTGTTTGACACGATTTCGGCACGCTATCTCTTCTCGGCTGTACACACGAGCCTTGAATCGGTTTGAGCACAATGGTTGCGTCCAGTGAAAGCTATGCTGTTTATAAGCTGTAGTTTATATGCTATACTATTAATAATTTAGTGTAGTATGACTGCGCGAATTAGCGGTGTCTTTATTTCCGCGGACGTATCCTTTCAGGCGTTTCGCCAACGCCTACGCAATGGCGTGCAATTTAAAATGTGTCTTATTGTGTTTAGCGTAAGGTGTATTATCGTAGTCTTAGAGCGAGATTTGCCTCGAAAGTATTAAAACTGTACGTGTAAAATAAGTAGTGGTAGATAGTTGTTGTTGACAAATCGACGGTGTACACTACTGTACGTTCTTCGCATAGTACTTGGTGCATTGTGCCCTTTGTCGGTTCTCGCGGCTCGGCCGTTTGCCGTTCTAACGCTTTATTTGCCCACTGCTGGGCGATATTAGTTCTAAACCTCTGTAACACGTCGCTTTTATAAATTCCCTTCGCAAGTGGCAATATTCGCTTGCCGTTCTCAAGTATGCGATTTTATTCTCTATGAATTTGTATTTTAACTATCAATAAAGTTATGCTCTATGGTCGTAAGTCGCGTTCAGAGATTTTTTTATTCTTAATTAACAACTATTTATGAAAGTTTGACTGATGCGGAATTATTTTGTTTATGCTTGTGATATTATTTTAAATTAAGTCTGTAGTTTCCGCTCTTCTCTGTCCTAACCAAAGACTGTATCTATGTGGGTGGGACTTCGGTTGCGATCTATAACAGAATTAACACTATATAGTTGTTGAAGCCGGACCAAATTGTCTGTGTGTTTTGTTTCTCTGTATGGTGAGTTTGCGAGCCTGCGACATGTTGTCTATGAATAATGTAAGTTCATTCACTTAGTTTTAGAACGTTGTGTGATCAATATATCAAATAATAAAGCTAATAATTTTTAAGCGTTAGTTGACGTTATATAAAAAAAATTGTTTAAAAGACCGTAAACTTTCGTTATTTTTCACATTGATAGCTATTTAAGGTTATGGTATGTTTGTAAAAAAAATAAAAAATACAAAAAAAATGGTGCTAACACTAATATTGGTGTAATGTTATACTTCTCTAATCGGCTAAGAGTTGTAACATGTTCAATTAGTAACAAGTTATCACTATATCTGTAACTACACATAAAGCCAATAAATTAATATAAATAAATAAAATGTACACAATTTGATGTTTTATTTTCCAAAATGTCTCCAGCAGTCTACATTCCTTTAGACAATTTCGTCTGTTATTGCATTTCTAGCTGATTCAACTGACCACAATTCACAAAACCTTGCCGTTCAAAAATTAACTGTTTTTATGTCACAAGGTGGCAAGTGAAGATGGTCAGTCACCTGATAAATGACAACCGGTTTGTAGATGCGTTGCCACTTCCAGCCCCAGTCTAACTCACTCACTAGAGGAAACTCATAAGTATAACGTACTTAATGGCGGTCTTCTGTGAGGTCGTGTTACTTATTCGGATTGACTTGCCAATTGATGCAACAGCCAAAGTTGTGGCGTGGCCCTACCACAATTGACTAACAATAGTTAACTAAAAATTCTTGTTATATACTAAACGTTAAACTAGAAATAAAATAAATTCTCTTAATTTGATAGCCTTGATTGTGGTTATTGATGGATGTATTCACATATACCTTTGTCTTAAATTTTTTTTCCAGTAAATAGTTAACCTAGAAGAAATGGCTATGGAAGTCAAGAGATGTACAAACTCAACACATCCGAATAAAAAAAATCAACAAAATTGACAATGTCCTAGGGGTAGTGCACATCACCAGTCTGTTTAGGAGAGAACGAAAAAAAAAAGATGTACTTTTGATACCGGATAACGAACTAAATTTTCACGAATTTCATTTGAGAAACGACGAAAAATTTTTTTAAATTTTGTTTGACCTTTATTTACTTGACTCACACCCAGTTTCCGAAAGCGCAATCAATTTTAATTTACGATAAATCTCTTGTCAATCGTTGTTTAACATTATCTGAGTTGCTAGAACGTCTTAAAACAACATTGATTTTGATTTGCAATTAGTCACTGATTAACGGACAATCAACAGAAAATCGAGTTTCTGAAAGCGTTTTTCGGTGGTCAAAGAGCTGTCAAAAGTTTTATTAAGTAATCTGTCAATTTGGACGATCAATCGTTGGTTATAAATGTATTTTATCAAAAATCTTAGTTTTTATTAAAAATAAACATAATTCCCTAATACGTTGTTAGGACATTCATGTGTTCTATTACCTATTTATTATTTATTATTATGCGAACATGCGATTAGAAAAAATACAAAATGCAATTCAAAAGTTAATAAATAATATGGATTCTTTCTTTTTATAATACTTACTGTTTAGTTGGATAAAAGTTCATTTTTTTCATGTTCTGTAAAGTTTTTTCTTGACATTTTGCTGTATTTATATAAAAAAATTTTATTATAGCTCCGATTTTTACGTTGGCAATCACACGGTGACAGGACTGGATAGTGACAATTTAAGTTTTGTTTAAAAAGGGATAGCTATACAATAGAAAGAGTTAGTTGAAGTAAATCATTCATTTCATTCAATATCATTGGTTATACAGTGATTAGCTAATTTTTCTTGAACAAACCTTCCAGAAACCCAAGGCAGTTTAACAAGAGATTAACAGCTGATCATTTTTGACATAGTGTTATCTGATTGCTGCTTTGATTGGCCTTTCGGAAACTGGGCAGTCGCGTAAATAAGTATATTTAAGAAACATTTGTATCCGAATTCTTTATAAATAAACAGTTCTAATCAACTCCAAAAAAGTAACTTTCGTTTACAATAACATATAATTTGAGCTAATTCTGCGATCCAATGGACAACAGACTACCAATCTATCAGCAGTCTATCTAATATATTGATGAGATTGTATGAAGCACGGAACAAGCCGATCGGACGGTTATTACTTTATCGTGGTTGCTTCGACCAATTCCTCTGTCGAGTGCGGTATAATTGTAGTCTGTTCTAGGGTGCACCGATCCAGAGGTAAAAATAATGTTAATGTCGGGCTGAATTAGCCCGTTATAAAGTTGTAAACTACAAGTAATTGAGAAGGGCTGACTGCTGTCATTGTAGGTAACATACTGAGCTTTTTATAAACCCTTTTGCTTTTAAGATATGAGTACATAATAATCTTTTATTTTTTCTTTTAACACGATAAAGTAGAATACATTTATTAATTATTTCATTTAAAAAATTAATGCGATGAATATAATCTGCACGTTAGTTTTCGAACGAATCATTCTGATTGGTGCTAGAACTGTCAGTTTGTTTTGTAGCAAATGGCGCCCTGAGTCTTGCCAACTTAGGGAGTTTAGTCCCAAAATGGGGGGAAATTTGCATATTGAGCTTTTTTAGGGTCCAAAAAAGTATAAGGCCATGAATAATATTTCATGAATCGCTATTTTCACTGACCAAAGTGAGTAAAAAAAAAACGAAATGTCAATTAAATGTTGAAATGTTAATTTAATTAGTAGATTTATTTTTTGATTAGTAGAAATGTTGTTTGCTTAGTTATTTTAATTATTTGTAATGAAAAGTATTTTAAACTAAGTCATATTTTATTTACGATGATAAAACGTAAAACTCTTTTAAACAATATATTTAAATTCAATACAGAGCTTTTTTGGGGCTTTTGAAAATTGCATTTAGGTTTATTTAGGGCTTTTTCATCTTAATTTTAGGGCCATTTCTTTAGTAATTGGCAACACTGGCCCTGACAAACTTCACTTCAGACTTCAGTATCAGTCTTCGCAGTAGTGTCTTGTCTCGCTTGCGCGCTTTTCCTTCCGTTCGTTTACATTTATCGTAACTATATCAAATGCCTCGCTTCGCCTAATGTGACCTTTTATATATAAATAACTGTGATTTCGTGATGTTCTGTGATATAAAATGACCTGATGGAGTATGTGTTTAGTAGTTGTTTAAGTGACCAGTGTAAAATGGGTTTAATTACATCGAGGGAGCAAACAATGCTGGACGGACCCGTAGCGTCTACGAAGAGTCACCATGTTCGGCAGCCGTCGACGAGGAATCGTACTAAGCCTCCAATGCCGGACAGGGACGAGCTGGAGAACAGATTCATTAAAGTTCTGGTGAGTGAACCACTTCCGCCGGCGTTTTTGTTTACAAACATCGGAATATTTGTTTACGGTGCGTTATAACGCGGCGTAGTAATTCTACTATTTTGTACATATTTCGTCAATACACAAAATGTATGTACATTACAAAGACCAAACTATTAGAACGGCTATGTTGAAGGGTACATAAATTCGAACATTTTGTACTAACAAAGGAATCCTAATAAATACGGTACCATAATTATTTTTTCGGAAAACAATTAATTTATGATATTTTGATTTAATAAATAAATAAATAAAGGACAGAATTTAGATGTTATCATTTCAGATTTTTGAAAATTTCACCCTTTTCCCTCACAGCAATCCTATTAGATTAATATTAATATTTTACTTAGTCTGTTTTTACTTATATGTATACTTTTTATTAAATACATAATTAACATTTTTTATATCTAAGTTTAGCTGAACAGACATCCTGGCTAAGGTTCCTATTACTGTTTTGGTTCACTATTTGGATCACTTTTTTACCATTTTCTTTTTTTTTTTATTTTATTTTATGTGTGCTGTACATTTTATTCAAGAATACCTTGATAAGCTAGTTAACTGAACTTAAACTAGTTTTTTTATATTTCATACTTATTAGAGGATTTATAAAAAGTTTAAATATAAAAAGGAATCAGACTCTATGTATTGTGAAAAAAGGATTTTCTGTGAATACAAACTTAATAATGACAAATGTGTAGCGACCAGGGTCAAAGTGGAAAAAGACATGCTATAAAATAAATTATGTAGTCTGCCATTGTTAAAACCAGACAGCATCTGTATACAAAACATACGATTAATGCCAAACAAACTTTATTAATTTTTGTCTTGCGAAATAATTTTTATGTGCATATAAATTGAGCCATGTCCAATGAGTATTTGTGTAAAATATGATTTTGAAGAGTTGGAAGAGTTGTATAACAATCACAGAAAGTGGTTATGAAAATTACTGCATCCTCTGGGTGGCAGGAGTAAGTGATTATGTATTTATATAGACAGTACAGCATTCACTATGAAATTTCTTTATTTGTAACTTATAATACTAATTCATAAATTTATCTTTTATGGTTATCAAAACTTTAACAAACTGACATTGTTCTGGTTGCACATTACAGCATGATAAATAGTCCGAATGTTTCATTTCCTGTCTCTTATCTATTTGTGGTAACTATTGGCCAGCAAGTTCTTACTTAGTTGACGTGATGTCACAGGAAATTGTGCAATATGGTTTAACATTTCTACATTATGATTTGATAAATTTAATATAAAGTAGGTAGTTAATTTTTGAGTAAATTTGGTATTTTCAATGCCATACATTTCTAGATAATTATGTGACTTAGCTGAAAATCTTTTTAATATTATTTCATGCTTAAAGCTAATTAAATTATTATTTACAAAAGTTATCAACAAACATTGACCATCAATCCAGTTTTTCTGTATTGCGTTATTCTTGTTACTTTTATTATTTAAGTAGGTAACATCATTGACAATAATAAGTTATATCATGGCGTATTTATCATTGGATAGCAAGATGGCACAACAGAATACACTATAATTAAATTTCTTACTTCTTTGAAAACCACCAATTTTATATACAATTGTATATATTACGGAGTTCATTGTTTCGTTCAAGATGTGTAAGAAAATATGCTTATAACTTTCGAGATCTTAAATCTTGTACACGTAAATGCAATTTTCACACCCAAAAGTGTAAAAAAATATATAAATCATTCATTGGAAGTATTTTGATAAAAGGATGTGTATTACACACATCCTTTTATCATGACTTAATCGTAACTTTTAAATCAGACAAATCAGCCCCACTTTATTGCTCATCCATTAATCATATTTGAAAGAAGTTGATTAATGTAATTTATATTATGGTGGCTTAGTAGTTGAGAAACATATGTACCACTAAATAAATATCTGTCAACGCCATGTATTTCAGTAGTAAAACAAATTAGGCGATAAAAATTATGTAATGCATTATTGAATTGATAGCATTTAATTTATGTTCTTGGCACTGTATAATTTCTTCATCTATATTTGTTGAAACAAAAATCAATGGCATCGCGTCAGTCACTGGCTACTGCATACGATGCCTTAATGCCCCAACAGCTGCTGATAACATTGTGTCGAAGCTATTTTTAAAGCGGGCTTTAATTGTTAACTACTTGTGTGAGGGCACCGAAACTTCGTTCACACACGCCCGTTTAGCCGTACAAAAAAGCAAATTAATTATAACTTATCTCGTTAATGTGTACAGTAGTCGCTAATGATCTTGAATGTTTTACCTTGCCCAGAAGCTTATTAAAAAGAAGAGAACATTCTAGTGATGATTTGGATAAAAGACTCAAAGTTTTTGAAATCTTACTCCCTTTTACAAAATTTTCGCAAATCATGTAACTTTGTGGCTTTAACAAATTAACTCATTTAAATTTTTTTACGTGAATATTTTTCACTACCCGCAATGTTGCGAAAGTGTTTAGGTGCTTTTGTATACATATTGTATTTACAGTAAGGTCATCAGACGTGAACAAAACTTGTATTAATATAAGCTGTACAAGCTTATATTATTACAGTATTAAAAGACTAATTGAATTGCTTAGTGTTTTCATAAACGTGTATGTATGGAGACATTAATCGTTGATAGTAACTGAACATTACTTCTTCTCACTTTATGATAGACTGATAGATAATGCCGATAAAGTTATGTTCGCTTGTATATTATTGTCGTGCATAAAAAGTTAAATAAATTAAAATCCACAGTACTAGTACAATATTACTACAGTAAATCAATATAAAAAAAATGTATGTACTGCATGAATAAAGAGTTTCCTTAAAGCTATAACTGTCGACTCAAAATAGAACTTTTCCGCTAAGTAATCGCAAATCCAATAACATTCGTAAAAATTTTTAGCATAGGTAGTTGTTTATTTTATTGTTCCTTGTCTTATAATTTCAAAAATTATCTCAGCCTCCATAACCCTTGTAAAGTACACGTAAACACCTGCCGGGTAAGTACCTCCTCTGCATAAAATTTTAGGTATCAGTTTACTACGGTTGGGCAGATATCACATGCCTTTTCCGCCACATGCCTTATCTCGAAAATATGCAGGTGTTTTAAATCGACACCGTAAGTTGCAATTAGTTATTTCATGGGTGCCGGCAACGGTATTTGAATTTAAGTTGCTCGAGTATACATAATTAAAAGTGAGCGCCCTGACACTCGTATAGCACAGGTATATTTGTTACAAAAAGCGTATTTTTTTTTGGAATATATAAAACACATTAAAATTAGATTAAAAGTCAATATATCAAGGCGATGGTGGACGTAGTACCGGTTTCTTTGGTTCTGGATTTTTATCTTGGCCGGTGTTTACTAAGGTCTTTCCATACAAGGGATTTATAAATACAAAATCAGCTGTCTTATGCCTATGATGAGGCAGTTGTATGGCGATAGAGTTGCCACCTATCACGACACGACATGAAACTTGATGCACTCGTCGAAGTTAATAAACGCTTGCTGGATAGCTCGTTATTCGTTAGTTACAACCTATACACGTCCTACTGCAGGGCAAAAGCGACCTATAACCCCAACTCCTACTATAACGACCTATAACCCCACTGCGGATTGGCTGAATTTAAATATCTTCAAATTATTTTTTCTCACGACGTGTTCCTTCCTGAGTACGTGATAAGTCAGCATAGAACATAGGCCTCCCCAACAGACTGCCACGTAGCACGATCCTGAGCCACCTGCATCCATCGACTTCCCGCACACTTGCACAGGTACTGTAAGGTTAAATATGCGCAATATTATTCGTAATTTTACAAGGTATCCGCAGAAAACCAGTGCCGTGGTATTGTCTGCCGCGGCTATATACTGGGCTGAGACCTTTATGGTACATACATTCTTACAATCCTAGTGTGATTTCTTGTTCTTTATTTAATGCTTTTTAAAAAATTCAAAACTGTCAAGCACTTTACTGCCATCCCATCTGATAGTAAGTGGCGATATAATGACGAATGTAATGCGTCGAATATAAATATATTTCTTTCTTTCTGATATATTTCTTTAAGTTTGTCATGTTTCCATAATTATTTATGCGTGTTTCCGCTTAATTAGGGTTTGTAAAGGAGGCAAAGGCTGCACGGCTATGGGGTTTTGTGGCAAATTCAAACGGGAAACGCATTGCGACAAAATACGTCCCTCTCGCTCGTTTTTTGTCTGTGGGAGGCTAGGTGCCTAAGGCGGCCTTAATACGTTATTTTAGCTTAATTAATGATGACTATATTTTCTATGTTTCACGTTTTGCTATTTTATAACGAATGCTGTCAAGTTTTATTCTACCTTGTTTCTACTTTATAAGTTATAAAATTAAATGACTAAGACAACATACTTAACATAATAAATTTTAATATAAGATATTTTAAATCCGTCGAAACAGTAGTTAAATGTTATAAAAGGAAGATGCAACTATTAACAGTTTGCTATAAGAATGTTTTCGAGAATCATCTTAACACTAGCCACACTGACGGTCACACTGCGTGTTTACAATTGTGTAATTTTCCTCCAAGGGGCGAACGGGAGTGAAACAATTGCGCAGTCGCCTAAATTCGGTGCTCGCAACTAGCGTGTCATTAAAAACAGGAAAATTGTCATCGCGCCAAGGCCGCGGGCTAAATAAGTAAATTAGTTGCGGTCGGCCGTGCGTCAATGCTCGCTGGAACCGCCGGCCTGCAGTGGACCTTACAAAAGGCCCTGACTCCGTTCGTTTGATTGGGCCAAATTCTATCAATTCCACAAATGAGACTGCTCATAAGTTGGGCTATATTTATTTAGCGTCGGAAAAACTTAAAAGCAACAGTCTATACACGTTTCACTGCCGGGCAAAGGAACCCTCTGTACAGAGGGTAACAGGGCATAGTTCGACAATGAAAAATTAAAAAAGAATAATAATCATAATTGAAAAATTGGGTAATGTTTTTTCTTTCGGCGGACACCGTGATAATTTTTTAATTTTTTTTAATTATAGTGCATTCAGGTTCTTTACAAAAATGTTCCGCATAAGTTGTTTACCTTCTACGCGCCTCCGCCTACTCCACAGCAGGGCAGGCACCGACTCATTATCATAAATAACCGATAACTGTAAATTTATACAGGGGTCCATAAAAAACGCACCGCCGTCGACATAATTGTTTGTGTGGCAATCGAAACTATATGAAAAACTTTTGATGCAAGTTATGCTTTACAATTTCGCAAATCTATATCAGTAGCATAAGTAAACCTGTTTTAATTATAGTAGGTAATTTATTATGAAGCTAATGTTAACTATAACAGACTTACAATAAAGATATTGATTATGATATATAGGTAGGTCATTTGATTATTGCGTTATAATTAATTACCTAAACACCGTTTAAAATTAAGAGTAATCAATTATGCAATCAAATCTGCTTCCCTTTATCATCATCTGCAACCAGCTAAAGTTACTGGCACGTGTCAGTGTTTCTTTACTTATTTGAAAAAAAAAAGTCAAAAACTAAAATCTAAAAGCTGGAGTGCCAAGGCTGCTACGCTAATTGATAATGTATAATTATATAATTAAATTAACAAACTAATTTAGCAGCTACTAACTACATTAACTCAATTTTCTTTCATTCAACGCTGAGAATACTAAATGATCTTCCTTAGTATGTTAATTTTTCTTACACGACGTTTCCTTGCTCCTTTCCTATGGGGTCAGAGATATACAACGAAACAAACAATTATAGTAATTTATATATGCATCATCATATACAGGATGGTATTAAAACATTTTATAATCTGTGGCTTGGGATAATCCATTAGTTGTAACCGCGCATTGGCCGAGCTTCGTTCTTCCCACTGCGCTTATCGGGTCTACTTAATTTCCTGTAATATTGCGCCACGCGTTGCTCCACAGGTTTTATATTAATCTCGAGGCTAGTACGACACGATTGGGGTGACCATTCGGTTTATCTCCGTACAGGCCCTAGGGGTGTGATAATTTTACATGTTGCTTTATCTTTATATATATAATTCTTTTGTACTTGCGTCACTGAACTCCTAAACGGCTGGACCGGTTTTTTTTTTTAATTTTTTTGTGCGTATTCAGGTCGATTCCCGAACGGTTTAGATTCACAATTCGGTCTTTTTTTTTATTTATAAGTTGTTGTCGGATTTAAGTCGTGTGTAACAAGACAACGTCTGTTGGGTCCGCTAGTTTATTATAAAATAAAGTAATATATCTCTAGGAGGGTTGGTGGTAGGCAGGCGGCCGGTTGTAAAAAACGCAGCCAAAACAGCTTACAACATGGTCCCCCCTTACGTGTGAAGAGCGCAGTGGGATGATGAACATTAATGTAACATGTAAATAAATAAAACAATGTTAATATAAACATTATAATTTTTGCAGAACTGTATAGTTAAGGAAATGAAAGTGTACTTGAATGCCGTATATCTCTTGCGAAAATATTGAAGTAACAAATCCTAAGACTTCAAAAGTGACAGGTGACAATCCTGTCGCCATATACGCAAACGTGAAATGTATAAAGAATATATAATAGATATATATGTAGTGATGGTGGCGAGAGTATTAATTTGTAAAGTGATAAAATCTTATTGAGTCCGAATGGAAATTTTAGTAGTCGGTGGAAGATACTAGATCACAGGAGCTTTAGTAACTGTTCAGTGGCATATTGTTTTCGGATTTTCGTGTTGCATTATCGGATCATATTGATTGTATCACGGCCTCACACAAGACTGGCGCGAAATAGATATTTAGTATAGTATTATCATTAAGCTAGTAGAAGCTCATTCTTTTTGATCATCGATCTCGAAAGGTGTTCAATATAAGTTTTGTTAACTTTAAAAAAAGCTCGCGAAGCCTCAGTCGGTACTGAAATGCACGGTCACATACTATAGTCGCGGTGGTTATTATCAGGTACTCCTGTTCGTTGCAACGTCCTCTTTGAGATACGTAGACCGGACTTATATCCCGTCGGATGATTGGGAGGCGTGGTTACACTAAGCGGTCGCAGAGCACCCACCGGTCGCGGCTGCATTCCTCGACACCTATGCGTCTCGAACGCGCCGCGACCGATCGATGGCGGACGCAGGATAGCCCCCCCGGTGAAGACTCCGAAGCAACATTGTGGATTGAATCAGCGTGCAACAGTATGCAGCACGTACGATACGATATTGCTGCGTAAAAGCTCTCGCCGTGAAATTCGTTTCGGTTTATTGCATATGACCGAATATGTATCGTTTTTCTGAAGAAAAATATTTTGGTAACTTGTTAAGTTACGCGATGAATGAACTGAAGATAATTTATATCTGATATGTTTGTTAGTCAGAACTAACCCAAATATTGTCGTTATAAGGAATAACATATTTCAATATGGTGTCGGGTTTGTTGTTTTAAAAATGTAATAGCTAAATTAACTTTATCTTTTTTGTGTTAGTTGATCTACTTCCTACTTAATGTCACATATTTCAGATATTAATCACTCGTATTATTGTCAGTATTATATCCAACGCGAGCATCTTCACCTAGTTTTGAATTATCCTGTATTAAATAGACGTTTTATATATCATACATATATTGCAAACGGCAAACACCCATATCTAATATATACAGTCCGGTCAAACGCAATACAATCAATACTTACAAATACATGCGTGAAATTTGTTCGTGTTTGTTTCCTGTATGAATCGTATTAGCTAGACATTAAAGTCACATTTCGATGAGTCAGATTTATACATATGGGCTGCGGTTTGATTACTTTTAAAACAACTATGCATGTGAAGCCGCGGGAAGTCCCTTGTATCACTAGCACGATACCAATGACCGCGCGTATGCTGCCCCAGCTGTGGTGGACACGCCGCACGGACAGTTCAGAGCCGTTCGCATAGGGCCTTTGTCCCAGACGTGGCGAATCGATCGACCGCGCCGCGCTGCATTGCCGATGCACTTTGCGGCGACGCCTTCCAGCACGATTCACACCGGGCGGGAACGGTCAGCTCGCTTCGGATATGACGTTTTTATATTATATATTGTATTTATTACCCATCTTATTTGTTTTTTTTTATGAATGGCAAACGGGTAAAGGTTCAAGGTGGTAATTAAATACCACCGCCTGTGTAGTAAACGCCCTTCGGGTTTCAGTTGCATTGTTTTCTTTGTAGTGATGTGATCTTAACCTCGCTCACTACAAAAAACGTACAAATAGAAATGCTTTTACTTCACGGTCGACTTCTGTGCGTCTTTATGCAGAGAGAGCTCTGAACTTATCTATCACCTTTTTGTTACAAGCGCAATCATATCTAGTCGATTCTTTCTCGTGTCCTGCAATCTGTGGTGATGATTCGTATAGTGTTCCGCGATTGAAGACCATGAAAGACCGATGAAGAATCTGCGAAGATATTCTGTGGAACATAAAAAGTGTTCAGTACATCAATACGATATACAAAAGGCAGTAATTCAATGTCGAATGTCGAAAATCAATAGAATGGTCTACTGCGCTTGATGTCGATGACGATAAGTTTATCGTCATCACTCAATAGAGTGGTCACTATCAACCGATAGTGAAGGTAAATTTTATTATTATTAATAACTACACGTTTACATTCGGGCTGATGCAACTCGTATGTTGTGAATCTTACGTAGACATCATCTGGCACCCGTTAGCTTTGATCGCCCTTTGTTTTTGTGGCGCACGCGACTAGCGCTCGCCGTGTCCGTCTCGGCCTTTCCGCTAATTGCATAGAATCTTTCAAAAGATCGAGATATGCCTGATTAATATGTGCCTCATGTGTGAGTTTTATTATCATCCAGTTTATGTTTTCGATTTGATACGTTCGTTTTTATTTTAAGGCTTCTTTTCGGTATTGTTTTGTAAAGACATTTACTGGACTTTGTCCATTATTTTCTTATTTACTCTGCGATGTTTTAAGTTTTATAGCTTTATGTTCCTTCACGTGGGTTTTATAGCTCTCTTAATATGACCTATGTAAGAGAGCCAACATTCACAGTCAAGCTTGTACAGCTCCTGGATCTTACAATATCCCTCATATTGAACTTGGCAGATGGTAAAAACGGACTAATCTTTCTGCGTTCGATAAAATTAATTAATTAGTTTAAGTTTCATAGTTTTTGACGACTCTGTGGCGCAGGTGCCAAGTTATTGGCTTCGGCGTCGGGGGTTGTGGGTTCGATTCCCACATGGGACAACTATTTGTGTGATCCACAGACAGTTGTTTCGCATCTGGGTGTTTTTAAAACAAAGGGCATTGTCCACTTTGTATGGGGGTTTTGGCTTGGAGTGAACAGTCACTGAGAATAAAAACGATGTGTAGAATTATTAGATTTATTCAGAAGGAATTAGAAAAATAATAAAGTTTTGTGTCCAGGTGTTTCTTAGATTTTTAATAAACATTTATAAACAGGGCTTTGAAATATAATATCGAATTTAGTTTTCATATTTTTTTATTAATCAGATTCATAAGTTAATAAAATGTTATCTAAGAACTGGGCAGGTGGATTTACAGACTCTTGGTACCTTGTCCAGCTCATGAACCAAATAAAGTCATTATATGGGCACAGCAACCCACTGTCCGACGAGCCACCATGCAGTTGCAAAAATATTGTTTTATACTACCTGTCTGTTATATTATTTTCATATGAGATATAAATATAATATATTTTTCTGCTGATATAAAACAGCATACATTCACAAATCACAATACCTACGAATAAAGAAAATGACATTTGTCAAAATAACAGTCAAAACTCAAAAGTATTGCCTAATGTTGCCATAAAAATCGTAACCAATGAACAATCTTATTTTCTATGATTCTGGAATTTTGTTATCCTTCATGCCAATGACAAGTAAAATAATGAACAATTTATTCAAATATATTGGCAATTAAAGTTGATGAAAATAATACAATATTAACGTTAATTCCTTATAAATATTTATGTATAAAAATGCAGTGCCACATGATTTACCTTACGCACATGACTTATGCACTTTCGATAAATTATTTTTACCACAAACTAAGTTACTAAGTTAATAAATGAGAATAATAATATTATTTTGATCGATTAAAAATCGAATAGTCATAGATGTGATTTAGATTTTTATACTGGCAAGGTAATATTTTAAAATGTCGACAAGACTTTGTGTATATAAATCAATATAAATACTCAGGAAAAACTTTGAATCGATACAACCGAAAAATACAAATATTCATGTTTTATTCAGGGAGATTTTTTGGTATTATTTTTTATTTTTTTATTTTATTGTTGTAACAAAATCCACAGCACTTTTTTTAAAATATATCTAAATCTTATTACTAAACCTTAAAAATAATTGTTTTTATCTAAGAATTCCTACTTCGTTCACGCGAAGCCAAAAATGGACAATGTCCTTTACGTTTGTGAAACGTCCATACAACCCAGGAAAATGTTATCCTAAACTAAGGGTTAAAGTTTTAAAAAGGAAAAAAAAAAATGATCTTCCAAACGTGGGCGTGATAATATAAAATCGTGGAAATTGCGCAAACTATTAAAACAATTCAATGCGTTTCCCTTGTGATACGCTGCCGCAATTGTTTTGAAGATAAAATGGAGTCTGCTGTTATGAGCGTGGAATTATAATATTTTGACAGTCGGCTTCGCTGCTATACGTAGGCGTAATATAGTATATATACGTAGGCTAGTAATACGTAGGCGTCGGGTTTAACTAAATGGTATGCATTGTGACGTCATTCTCATGCCGAGGAACATTAAACTATGCGAGATTTATTAATGAGATTCATTCGAAATCATTTGCCTACAATATAGGATTGTAAGGTCTCTCCTATATTTGCAATAAAGTTGTCACATGTTCTATGCGAGTGCAACTGGATAGGGATTACACCTAACAGAGTATGAATCTCATTGATCTGCAGACAATCAGTGATTTAAAAATCTTTATATTACCTATATATAATTTTACTGTACGTGTGTATGTCGCTGAACTCCTCCTAAACGGCTGGACCAGTTTCAATGAAATTTTGTGTCTTCAGGTGGATTCGAGAATGGTTTAGATTCGCAAAGTTATTCAGAAAAGTTTGAAATTTTCTAATTTAAGACATATGTACAGGGCAACGTCTGTTCGGTCCGCTAGTTTGTATAAATATGATTGCAATCAACGCTGGTGTGACGCTTAGCGTGACGGTTGATGGAACAGCACGTGAATTTAGCATCCTAACACCGATGTAATTTGACGCTGCCACACTATTATGCAATATACGATTAGCCTAGTAATTTTTTATTATTCGAATTTTGTTCAACCTTTCAGCGACAAAAGAGAGTGTTATTCTCTTTCTTTATTATGTGACCTGTACTTGACGAGAATATTTAAACATTTTTGTTACGACAGGTTTTTAGCTTGGGATCCAATAACATTATTAATTATTGGACGCAAAGCTGGTGGTAAAGTCCAACCATCTCCTCAATTGATGAATACAGAGAATGGTTGGTCTTTAATTAATAAAATTAGACCCAAGCACACTAATACTATAAGACTTTAAGATGCTGTTAGCTCTTGCGTAAATCGGAATAAATAAACTATTAGAATTCGACGGTACCCGGTACTAACTATGAAATGTTAAATGTTATGTGGAACTGACCCTGTAAAGTGTTCGGAACTTGATAATTAACATCAAAATTAAACGCAAAAAGAATTCGTGTTGGTAATTTCTTACGGTGTTAGGCCTACGCAGCAGCCTCGGCTGTTGCACGAATGGGCAGGCCCGTCCGGGTAAGTACCACGACCTCTAACCACGACTAGCGTAAAGTGGAAGTATGACAAATACTTGGTCTCGGAAGTATGACAAATCGCGTTTCGTCTGGTGAGTGAGGTACCCGGAGCCCAATTTTCAAAAGGTTGTCAACGCATCTGTAACCCTCGGGTGTGGCAGATGTCCATGGGCGGCGGTATTCACTTAACATCAGGTGACCCGTCTGCTCGTTTGACAACTTTTCGCATAACAAAAAAAAAATCGTAAAATTAGTTTATTTAACAACGCTTCATTGATTAAATAGAGCGCAAACTTTATCACGCGCGTCTATCGTGTTCGCGATTGTGGTTGACAAAAAACGGAACCGTTACCCGTTATTGAACGGTGATGGATCTTATAAAAGATCTAGTACGTGTACACTAGACATTGATGTGTTTTACACTGTACAATGGCAATGTTTTGTACTGTTTCGACACCCGTTATAATAATTATAACAACTTGGTTGAATTTAATTACAATGGCATAGTAAGAGTGACTTTTGGCCCTATCCATAGGTCCTCTCCATCGCTTTACATGATTTCGCACACATAACACATATATATTATTATTGTATAATATAGCTTTATAAAAGAGCTGTGTATATGGTCACGGCATAGACCATGAACGCTGGAAAGGGTTCGAAACGTCGGGAGTTCAAATCAAAATAAAAAACGCGATAAAATCCGTAAACTAGTTTCATTTAATATGTATAATATTCGCGTAAAATCAAGAAAACAATATATTTGTGGTAGTTAAGCGCATCAGATGAAGGCTAATTCGAGTTCAATCGCGGTCAGTCTCGATCCAGCCTTCATCCCGTTAATACTAATTTCCAATTATATTTTTCTTAGTTGTTTAAACCAGTGTAATAAAGTTCTTTTTTACAAAGGCATTTGCAATTACCCTTATAAAAGAACGAATTTCCGGAATCTATCATCGGCAGCGGTATTTCTGATACAACTTGGGGGTGACTTGGGACTTTCAATGATAGAGACTAACAGCATTAAAATATGTCCAAGGGTGGTGGTCATGACTTGTCATCGTGTGGGGTGCTCGCAGCCTGGTGGTGGGTTCCTCTTGGCTGCACCGTGGACCAAGCCGTAGGTGGTAGGGCCACGCAACAGTCTTCTCTGTTGCACGAATGGGCAGGTCGGTCCGGGTAAATATCACGAACTCACAGAAGACCGGCGTTAAGTGCAAGTGATATACTTCTGCCTTTCGTCAGCTGAGTGAGGTAGCCTGGGCCCACTTATTAAAAGATGGCAACGCATCTGCATCCCTTCGGGTTTTCCATCTGCATCAACCTCCGCCATGGCAAGATTAACAATGCAAAAGTAACACAACATTTCTGTCCAAACGTCCCGCCACTTTCGTAGCTTACATTTCCAGTCAATGACATAAGAGAAGATGTAATTGCTTTTTTTTTTCTGCTTACCGAGCGAATACATTTGTAAAGCCTTTGCTTGTAATTCGCCAGCCTTCGGAGGAATTCGACAGTTTCCAACGGCCGCTAACGAGTGCGTGACTTCCACATTAAAATGGTCGGCGGTGGCCGCTCACCGCTAATTATCAGAAGTGGTGCCGAGGTGCGTTCGAGGTCGCTCTCGATCTTCCGACCCTGGGCAGGAACTATGCGAATCAATTAAACGCCGTCGCTAAACGATTTAGACGACGAGCCCAAGCGGGAAGGGGGTTCGAAATGACTACTAGTGTAGGCACTATTTGTATATACGTTTATTTTATGTGGGAAGGTGGTAAGGTAGCTGGCGGTTCACCTGATGTTAAGTGATAACCGCCGCCCATGGACGTTTGCAACACCCTGAGGGTCGCAGATTCGTTGCCGCCTTTTAATTATGTGGACACTCGCTCACCAGACGAAACGCAGAAGAATAACATTTCCCACTTCACGCCGGTCTTCTGTGTGGTCGTGGTACTTAACCGGACGGACCTGCCCATTTGTGCAACAGAGGAAGCTGCTGCGTGTCCATTTCTTTTTATATTTGTTATTATAGGTATATGTATGATCTGACACTGATTGTGTGTCGTGATATCTCAGTGTCGCTCGCATTTAATTCATTATACTCGAGCGACTTCAATTCGATTCCCGACATCATTGAAATCGTTAATTGCAGTTTTAAATGCTGACTTAACACACGATCATCTGCGAGGGAAAACATCGCCCCTACGCAATGCAAAACGAATGCACAGTTAATGTAAACATAACGTTTTTATCCTTTTAACTAGCCGGCGACAACTCAAGGTTGAGTGCCGTATCAGGTTTATGTCGGTGCCTCGATACGTTTAGACAGCATTCTAGCGGGCCCATAAAAATACCTCCTGCCCTGGGGCACTTAAACGTGCCAATTTAGTGCCTCGCCCCGTAAGTCGCATATTAAAATTAACGCCGGCCGTTAATTACCCGATTAGCTGCTCTGGAAAGGTTAGTGCGGTGTATAGCGCATCTCGACGATTTGCTTTTACGTCGTTTGCTTTTTCCAATCGTGCTGGGAAATTGTACAAAATTACTCTAATTACTCTAAAGGAAGCAGTTACAGAAAGGAGATGATACGATTTTTCCACAAATTGCGTAAAATTTTGATGTAAGTTGAATCAGTGCGTATCACTGGGATAACGATCGAAAATGTGTACGAGATAGAGAGATTAACTTTACGTAGAGTTTTATGTTAATAAATAAAAATGAATGTTGGTTGGTAAGCGCATAACTCAAGAATGGCTTGACTAATCAGGCTAATTTATTTTTTTGTATGTTCCGTTTTAATACGGTTTTTGTACTATTAAAAGAAATGTCTGGGCAGCTAGTCTTACAATTCAAATACACATCTGGTCTACGAATGACTGGGTAGGCGTAAGAAAAACCTAACAAGCATTAGTTTAGATCTTTGATGATATTATCGGTGCAGCAAATGTCTCGGTTAACGCAATGCTCATGAATGTTATAGATGCAAACTTTCTGTAATTATTTGCTGTTTCGTGACGACGCAGTGAAATTCGGAATGGATATTATTATCTGCTACTTCTACGGTGTTAGGGCCACGCAGCAGCCTCGGCTTTAGCACGAATGTGCAGGCTCGTCCGAGTAAGTACTGCGACCGCACAGAAGACCGGCGTCAAGTGGAAATATAATACTTTCGCGTTTCGTCTGGTGAGTGAGGTAGCTGGAGCCCAATTTTCAGAAGGTTGTCAATGCATCTGCATCCCTCGGGTTTGGCAGATGTCCATGGGTAGCGGTATTCCCTTAACATCAGGTGAACTGTCTTCTCGCTTTTCATATAAAAAAAAAAACGTGTGGTTTGTTGCCAGGTTATTACTACTAATTAATGACTATTCTGTTTTGCGGGAGAGTCTAGTAAGACAACGCACGCATGACAAATGCGCGACCATACCCAATATCGGGCGCCGCATCAAACTCACGGGTTGTGCGTGCGATGAAGCTAATAGTCTACAGACTGAAAGCGAGAACACCGGTTAAAGTAACGCTTGCAAAGTCTATGACGGCATCGTCCTGTACCCGACGCCTTAGGCCACAACGAGGAAACGATCCGTCGCCAGCGTCCGAGACGAATCTCCCACGGCTATTCAGTGCCGCAATGGGCGTCGCAACTCACACCAACCGGTGCGGTGGTCGGCCGCCGTGACGGCCGGGGTCGCGCGAAGGTCACCGTCCACCCGTCGACGGTGCATTGTCGGTGCCTTGGTTGTAACGCCCTTGAGGAACTGCGACCGCACGTCAATCAAAGCGACGAGGAACGGACCATTGAAGATGGTGAATAGAGATGAGTAAAACATCTTTATCAACGAAAACAAAGCAGACCTGAAACGTATCGCTTGCTACATTTTCCGTTTCATTTGGAGTTCCCTGATGTTTTTTTTTAATGTGACAAAGTGGCAAACGAGCTGGCGGTACACCTGATGTTAAGTGATAACCGCCGCCCATAGACATTTGTGACACCCGTAGGGTTGCGAATGTGTTGCCGCCTTTCATTAAAGTGGGCCCCGGCTACTTCTACTTTACGCCGGCCTTCTGTGAGGTCGTGGTACTTACCCGGACGAAGCTGCCCATTCGTGCTACAGCGAATACTGTTGCGTGGTCCTACCACAGTAAGTCCTACTCGAGCAACCTGAGTTCGATCTCCGGTGCCGGCACCAATTAAATTGTTAATTATAAGTGCTGACTTATCACCTGCTCATCGGTGAAGGAAAATATCGTCATGAAACTTGCATATTTTCGATATAATAACAAAAAAAATGTTTCGAAGATATGTGAAGTTTGCCAATCCGCAATGGGGTCGCGTGTTGGACTATGCTCTAATATCTTCTGTACAGAGAAGGCCTTTGCCCAACAGTGGGACATTTATAGGCTATTACTATTTCTTGAAGATATTTAATTAGTAGTGAGCCAACTTGACACTGAGCTGCTCTAGATATAAGTTATATTTAGTGGTCGAAAGCCCCACCCTTTGAGTAAGCTAAGAACAAATTAATTTTACTGTACTGAAATGTACTGTCCTTCTCTACCGACCGATTCGAAACCCCCATATAACCATTATTTCATAATCTACCTAGTGTTTACTATTTTCGTTTAGTGTTTTCTATAGGCTAACGCGGCACTTACTCTATGAATTGGTTACGGTGTACGTTACGGTGTTTCCTCCTGCCTCGCTGACGCGTACCGTGCGAACCCGGCAGTGAATAAATCGCATCGACTTTAGTATTCCCGCCGTTACCGTGCATTTACCGACCAACCGAATGCATCACGAACGGCGCCAAATCTCTCGAGCGCTATAAGCTCGACGCGCAACATCCGTCCGCGGTGAATCTCAACAGACGCGTTTGCTTTTTGATGCGTTTTCGCTAACGGAAATGCGTTTGATTTGCAGACGTTACCGCTTTTACAGTTCGACTAGCGACCCGCTCCGGCTTCGCACGGATGCAATGTGTTATACATACAAACCTTCCTCTTGAATCACTCTATCTAGTAAAAAATATCCGCATCAAGATCCGTAACGTAATTTTAAAGATCTAAGCATAAATAGGGACAGACAGACAGCGGGACGACTTTGTTTTATACTATGTAGTGATATAGATTAACGGCCGGTTTCAACATTCTAATTACAGATAAATTTGGTTAATGCCGATAGGTATTTGACATTAGCTCCAAAAAGGTTTCCTCAATATTCTATTCCCAGTAACCAAATATCTATCCGTAGATAGAATATTCAAACCGGTCGGAAGTCGATATAGCTGATACAAGTTAAGTATTGCTTGCTTTGTCGAACCTAAAGGTAGTAATTTCTCTACTTCAAGATGCTTAGCCCCTTTTCCCTTTTATGTCTAAGTCACGAACCAAATAATTATATACACATAAGTTATGTTAGTTGCCGTGGACACGTCTTGAACATAGATGGCATATGACTATGTATAGTTGCCCATCGTCTCTAAAAGCACGCCATTCAAAACGAGTTGGAAGTTTACTTTCCGAACACACACCAGCAATAACTGCCAAACGTCATCAACTAACTACCTACCATACATTCCTAACGGTTAAGATATATGTACTTTAGTTTGTGATTCTTAAGAGATTTCCGCCAAATGTAGTTTGTACTACGAGCTATAAATGAAAAATTTATGACGAATTATGTAAAGCAACATAATTATAATAATAAACCTCATAAATGAATCCGAAAGGAGTAAATTATGATTCATCGGGATTCGAACCAGAGACCTTTAAACTATGAGTCAATGACTCAGTAAGGCCAAGATTGAACATTTTTTAAACATCGTTGTTAATGAAATCATTTGCGTGCCTCTGAGAAATTTACGTTTTGATTGATTCTTTATATATAGTGATTTCCGTGGCGGTGAACGTTTTCACGATAAAAATTGCTCTAATTTTCGCTTGTTTACAAGACAGATAATAAATTTATCTTTATACGAGTAGGTATCTCGACCCAAACCCGTGGGTTCTGGCTAGTCCACCGGTTCTGCGTCAGATGAAGCTTTAATAGTCTCGGGACTGAAAGCAAAAACATCAGTTAATACAAGATACAAGAAGGTATCTCGATACAACATTGATAGAGTTTTATCTAAACAATATTTGATTAATTCATGTGTAATTTTGTTTTTCTTCTATATAGCAATGTAGTGTTTGAATTCTAATTTTTTTCTTGTTCCACCTATATCGATATGCAAATAACGCGTTGATTTTTTTTTATGAAGAGTAACATACACATATATTATATGCTAGAGTGGTATAAATCAGGGCGCCAATAAGACTGGTAATTGATTAATTTGTGTTTTCTAAGTCCTGAGGACAATAAAACAATTTAAAAACTCCTTGCTTCCTGATGCAAAAACAAATCTAACCTTTTGATAGACATTTTTATATGCCACTCTACACAATCTCTGCGGTTACGTCGCTCCGTCTCTATGATCGACACTTCAAGACGTCAATATTTTTACATGCACGCGTTCCGCTCTGGCCGTGCATATGTCGGTGGGGTCAACGACCCGTCCGCATGCGGCGTGGATGCGATCAGCCCGGGACCCCGTTGACCGCCGATTCTCGACTCGATCACGGCTCGAACAAGCCCTCCTTGATTGACACTTAACAACGGATTCGATTATACGTCCGGTCGATTGTTATCGCGCTCGACGACGTGATTAGCGGTCGATCGCCGGCCCTAACTGCGTTTGTTTCGACTTCAATTGGTAGGGGATTGTATCATTTAAGTTGAATGGGAGGTTGATTTGAAGATATGTAGTATAGGTATTCCTAATCCATGCACGTATCCATCCTAATGATTAGTAGTAAGTAGTTTAATAGGTATAAGTTGTGGCATAATTGCTAAGCAATGCAGGCTCTTTTGTGCCTGTATTCTGATATTTACTTCTTTTACTCTAATCTTACTCGGAGGGATTGTCAGAAGGTCGAACGGGCAGTTATTTTCTAGAGCGTGAAGTTTCGTTCCCATGAAGAATTGCGGTGAAAGTGAAACAGCGTTTCATGGTTAATTACGTGTGCTGGTAGGGGGGCTTCGTGCATATTAGAGTAATTTTTTCCGTCTCCGTCAAATGTCACAGTGTCTTTACCTTTCCGCAAATGTTTTCGGCTTAGGTCGTTTGTCTGTCCGGTATTTGGTTAGTGCATTATTTATAAGAGTGTAGGTAAATATTGCTTAACTGAGTTCGATCCCCCGTGCCGGCACAAATGAAGTTTTTATCTTTAAGTGCTGACTTATCACGTGCTCCGCGGTGAAGGAAAACATCGTGAGGAAACCTGGCATATTTTCGAAAATAATAACAAAAAAAATATTGTTCGAAGATATGTGAAGTCCGCCAATCCGCAGTGGGGCCGCGTGGTGGACTATGCCCTGATACCCTCTGTAAAGAGGAGGCCTTTGCCCAGCAGTGGGACATGTATAGGCTGTTACTTTTAGGTAAATATTCGCAATGAAAATTGGGTGAAAAAATAATAAATAGAAAACATTTATCGAACGGCGTTTAGTTAAATTTAATGAAATTTACAACGAGGCACGCCAGACAGAGATTCCGGTTAGAGCATCGTGGACTTTTAGTGGGCACCCGTTTCTTTGTTTGTTAGCTTGAAGTACAAAGTGCCTAAAATACGACGCAACAGTCTTCGCTGTTGCACGAATGAGCAGATCCATCCGGGGAACTACCACGATCTCGCAGAAGACCAGCGTGAAATGGAAGTGTTATACTTGCGCGTTTCAGCAACGGAATAGAAACGGGTGATTGGGTCACCGGTTATCTCATGCACCGGATGCCACCCAATTGGCCGGCGAATTTCCGTTAGGATATAACTTGGGTGTCTTCAAGGCAACATTGAATAGGGTTTTACTGAGCTACTGCTTCCAGCATCTACCGCCGCTTACCAACGTATAGCCAAGCAGTCGGCATTACCTTATAAAAACATAGAAACACTTGCTTCTACCAAGACGTTATACCTCACTAGTTCAGTTGTCTTTAGAGTCTTAGAGCAGCATTAGCCACATGTAAGTTGTCGTCGACAGCCGTCCATCTGTTCATTGTTGTACGCTGGAAAGGATATAACAATGGATGCGCCAAGCGTTGCTTCAAATGCTAAAAAACAATGTAGATAAAAGACGTTAAGATTTTCCTCGGTGAGGCAATCAGCCGTTTAGCTCAGTGGTTAGAGCGTCAGGCCGCGAATGCCGAAGACGTGGGTTCGATTCCCACAGCGGCGATAATCTTTTCGTAATTTTTCTACATTTTAATTTTCTCAACCGGCTTCAAAAAAGCAGGAGGTTGAGAACCTCGGCATTCGGCTGTATTTTTTTCATGTTTGTTACCTCAGGACTTTCGACTGTGTGATCCGATTTTGATGTTCCTTTTTCTATTTGAAAGCTGGTGCTTCCCATGTGGTCCCATATTAATTTCCTGGGTATTGGTTCTTGGGCTCCGGAGATACTTGGGGAACTCCTGAAAATCAATTATAAAATGAATATAATACAGCGCGATTTGTAGCCGGTTCTGTTTTTTTTTATGTAAAAAGTTCTCAAACGGGCACGTGGTTCACCTGATGTCAGTTGAACACCGCCGCGTTGACATCCTTAAGATTAAACCCGTTACCTCATTCAACAGTCAACCACTCACCAATTCACACCGGTCTTCTGAGGCCGTGGTACTTCCCCGGACGCTACTGCCCACTCGTGCAACAGCAGAAGCTATGCGTTGCCCTACCACAGCTCTGATCTGGCGACGGTTACGAATCCGGCTGACCGACGTCGCCTCTCCCGATGACGTCACCGCCACATGTGCACGCCAGCCGCGACTCCGTCGAGGCATTTCACACTGGCGACGAAATTTGCCTTTTTATTATTTCAGAATTGGGTTAGACTATTCGTTTATGTATTCACATAACCGAATCTGCCCGGTAACTATGAATTATATAGGTGTTTTAGAGTATGCGGTTCTAATCGTTTAGTTTAAACAGATTGGGAAACTAATCATTAACAGAAAAAAAAATGTCAAATACTATTAGACAATTTATAATCGGTCTCTCTTATTTGAATATTGCATGCAGTATCTATAAATTAGGTTGTGTTATAAAAATCCACTGGTTTTTCTGTCAAATTTATACTGAAAACCTACCTACTACATATATCAGAGTGGAAAGTGAGCTTTTAAAACTGTTCATGTCAGAATAGCTTAGTATAGTTTATGTATCGAGTAATATTAATAAACTTATCGTACCTGCCGAATCAATATAATTTGTCTCATCACCATCATCATTAGCCACAAGACATGCACTGTTGAACATAGGCCTCCCCCTTAGAACGCCACAACGAACGACACTTTGCCATTTGCATCCATCGGCCGCCCGCGACTCTTACTATGTCGTCGGTCATTTCCCCTAGTCCCTAACAGACTTCAATCTGGTGTAGGAAGATGCCAGGATAACCTGGTGAAGTGGGGTTTCTCCAAGGACAATAAATGTCACTGTGGCGAGGTCCAAACTATGGCCCACCTGCTGCAATGGCCGTTGTGTCCCTCCTCCTGCACCCACGAAGACCTGCTTGAAGCCAACTCTGCTGCGGTGGATGTGACCAAATACTGGTCGAACAAGATCTAACTAGCTATTTTGACTCGAAAAGAAGAAGAAGAAGAAGTCGGTCATTCGTCTAATAAGAAAAGATTTTAACACGAATCCAATCCCGCCGCAACACGGCCAGTGTGGCGCAGTCTTTACAACGGCTTCCTCCCATTCTTTGTTTAGCTGTTTGGACTGCGTTGCGTTTCGTGCGGGGCCCCGATGCGTTCCCAGCGGCGGAACAAATGTCTCCGTTATCCCCGATGTTCGCGGCGTGATAAGAAGCCTTTGTCGAAATATATTCTGAATGCGTTCGCGTATCGCCATTGACAGCATTCGCGCAGATTTCGCATTCGTCTCGCGCTATCATTTGGCGTCTTGGTGGCGTTGTGCAACGCCTTGAAATGTTCATATTAATGTAAGTGTGAGAACTTGGATGATTTTGCATGTTATATTTCGCTTGTTCACAGATTAAGGAATGCTAAACCTAATATATTGCCCCATTGCATATAGTAAGCTCGCAGATTCCAAAAAAATAGGTCATAAGGATTGTAAATTACAAGATTTTCTTCAAATTTGCCGTGTTTATTATTCACCGCTGTTAAATTGTATTAAGTATAGATACTTACAGTTATAACGTGATCGGAACTTGAAAGGCAAAATTACTTAATAGCCAAACATTTATTTGGTGGTACAGGAGATACAATCCGTGGGGTGGTTCGATTTAGCAGTGCATATGGGCTGGTTATTGTTCCGTTTCGCGCATGTGTCGCGACGCCCTCAGTGCCCCTATATGGTCATCTGAACTCGGCCCCGTAGCGCCCTCCTTATACGGTGTGTCGCAAAAACCACCGACCTTCGCGCGCTTTCGTAAACACTCTTTGTAACTGAATATGCTTTTCTGTAGTGTTTTTTTTTAATTGATTTGGAAAAATGGAACAGGTTGTGTATGGTATATGCGTATGGTTTATATTTATTTGTTTCACGGCGATATGCCCGCCGATTTCCCTGCGTTATATTTGGATATTTGAAACAGCATTCTTTTTATAAATACTGCTTGTGATTATGGTCAAATATATATTTTTATAGCTTACGGTGGTAGGGCCAAGCAGCAGCCTCGACTGTTGCATGAATGTGCAGGCTCGTCCGGGTAAGTACCACGACCTCACAGAAGACCGGCGTCAAGTGGAAGTATAACACTTTCGCGTTTCGTCTGGTGAGTGAGGTGGCCGGAGCTCAATTTTCAAAAGGTTGTCAACGCATCTGAAACCCTCGGGTGTAACAGATGTCCATGGGCGGCGGTATTCACTAAACATCAGGTGAACCGTCTGCTCGTTTTTCAACTTTCACATAAAAAAAAAGCTTGAAACAATATTTTCTATGAAACTTATCCAAAATGGGCCGTGAGTTATGTTAAAATTGAACATACATAACGACAATAAACGATTTAAAAATAAATAATATGAAACCATTTACAGGTACACTTTTGGGCATTCTTAAGTTAGTGTTTGTAAATATATAAATGTTCCACGACGGGCTCTGGCTGCAAAGCACCGAACGGCACCGACTATTGTAGTCAAAATGTTTGCGCCAAACTTTTCGTTACCCTTTTGTTGGTTTTTGCCGCGAAAGCTCACTGTCCGGGCGCTTTTTTTAATTCAATATACTCGCGCAACCCAAGTTCAGATCATGGTGCCGGCAACAATGAAATTGCTAATTTTAAGTGTTGACTAATCAATATTCATATTTTCGGAATAATAAATGTAGGTAAGTACCTATATAATATGTATGTAGGTACGCACCAACATATGTATAATTTCAGTCACAATTCCAGCCTAAATTTTGGCCGCGTAAAATTCGACCGCGAACAAAAAGGCGTTTTGTTCTACGCTTTTCAACGACGACGCTCCATTTTTTAAAGGTTTTTTTTTATTCACCAACACGAGTACAAACCCCATTGTTTCCGGGTGATCACAACGACGTTAGCTTTCCAATTGCGACATGCCGCCATTGTGGTTGACGCGTGTTGCGTGACGGTGTATGGGTGACTCGTGTACTCGATGCTGGGTTCGACCATTATCAGAGGGAGAATGGCGAACTGCTGTTTTAATTGATAACTACGTGGGACAGTCGCCCAGGCATTTGGTTTCGGCGCCGGGGACGTCGGTTCGATTCCCAAGCGGGGCAAATGTATGTGTGACCCAAAATCAGCAGAATTTAAATTCGTTCGTTTTTAAATTAAAATAAACGTTTGAAACATCATGTATAAAATATTTGAATTCTAAAATCGGATTGAATATTCACAACGACGCCCCAAAAACTCCAATCTTAGAGATGCGCAATCGTGCAGTACGTGTGGTTTTTATTTATATGGTTATGATTTATATGCGAGCTAGGTCCCATGCAAAGTACCTACAGCAAGTCCAATGAGTGTAGTAAAGCTTTGAACTTTCCCAAATTTGGAACAGATGTTTTTTTTTATTTTTTTTTACATTGCTCTTACTGTAGGATTTTTTTAAATGTGAAATGTTGCCAAACGACCAGAGGGTTCACCTGATGATAAGTGAATACCGCCGCCCATGGACATCTGCTACACCCGAGGGTTCCAGGTAGGTTGCTACTTTTGAAAATTGGGCTCCGGCTCCCTCACTCACCAGACGAAACGCGAAAGTATTTGTCATACTTCCACTTTACGCTGGTCTTCTGTGAGGTCGTGGTACTAACCCGGACGAGCCTGCCCATTCGTGCAACAGCTGAGGCTGCTGCGTGGCCCTACCACCCTAAAACATGATAACATTATCCAGTGTTGCAAGGACGTTTTACATACATAAATTTCACATGAACAAACACTCGGATACCCCCGACGCCGAAGCTAATAACTTGGTGACTGCGCCACGGAGTCATCTAGTTTGCTTGCCCATTCGTGCAACAAAAGCTGTTGCATTGGGCAGCCGTGTCCGGGGTAGTGCCACGACCTCACAGAAGACTAGCGTGACACTTCAAGCCGTATTCTACTTTTGCGTTTCGTCTGGAAAGTGAGATAAACGGAGTTCACTTTTGTATAAGTTGTCAACTCATCTGCCCTCAGGTTTGTAGACGGGCGGCGGTATTCACTTAACATCAGGTGAAATGCGTATGCTTGACATTTCTCCCATAAAAAACCGTCCATGTCCAAGTTGGGGTCACGCTCGATGGGTTCCGCACCGTTATCTAAACGGCAAAAAAATCATATCTGTTGTATGGGAGGCCTGTTTAAATATTTTTTTATTCTGTTTTTTAGTATTTGTTGTTATAGCGGCAACAGAAATACATCAATTGTGACAATTTCAACTGTCTAACTATCATGGTTCATGAGATACAGCCTGATGACAGACGGACAAACAGACAGCGGAGTTTTACCCTTTGGGTACGGAACGCTAAAAAATCATTCGGCAAGAGACTCTGCTGGCGCACTGTTGTTGTCAGCTTAAAATATTACGTGAAGCCAATTAAAGTCCGTGTAAAAAAATTACGTAACATTTTACTACTAACCTCAGTAGTAACGTGCACATCTGGCATTCGCACGCTAATGCCAATCGGAAAACGTCCCACTGACCAGATACTTCGAACGGAGTGCAACGCGCTGCGAACGACTGTCGCTAAGCAGGATGCGCCTCTGGCGTTAGGATTCAACGCGGCACGGTCCTTCCGCCGTTCCGAATTGAGCGCGCGTAGAACCATGTCGAGCAACGGGTAAATAGATCAGGCCATCAGGGCTCCCATTGCGTTGGTCAGTGCGCTGTGGACACTTATTGGCATACGAATGAGGTAATTTCGACTAGGAATGCGTTGTATTGTAAATGTTGGATAAAGCTAGGGTTATTTCTCTTCCGTCGGTCTTGTTACAAATCGTGGCAGATGAACTTTTCAGCTAACTGGACACAAATCTGAACATCTTGTGGCTTCTGGGAGACCAGACACTCATTGGTGCAGTCTACGGTTTTTCTTTCTTCTTATTCACCAACGCAATGTCACTCTGGAAGGAACAATAATCGTCACAATAGGAAAGTGACAAAATTATAAAATACTTAAATTTTCGCGTTCAGAGCAGATTTATGATGCCAATGTTACACCGCTACGAGGTTTGGTAAAAAAATATTATGCGAACCAATAAGAAGTTGGTTTCCAACTTCTTATTCTTCATCTTCGCATGATATTAACACAAACCTATAACAAATGTTCTCGGTGTCTTAAAAAGTATCCATCACATTAATAATTTATATATATTTCCTTTCCTATTTTTCCCGAAATCTTTAACTATCTCATTGAAGTATAAATGCCTTTATCCGATGTTCATAAGTGATTCATGTACACCTCCCTCTGCTCTCTTCTTTATGTCTCATTAGCAAATATTCTTTTCACAATGGTTGTCTGGAAGAAATCGCTTTCTGAGCGATAAGACCGCCTATTGTACTTCCTTTTATATTAATTTGTAATTTGCTTTTTATATATTTTTATTTTTGGTGTACAATAAAGTATAAATAAATAAATAATATGTCTCCACGGATTGAAGCGTGCATTTTCGAAATGAGTACTATTGTGAGTTACGATTAAAATCATTGACTCAGTTCAATGTATATCGTGACGTTCATCCTTTAATTTGTTGACGCAAGTCATTGTTTTTCCACGGAATCTACGAGTGAACTTGTGACTATTAATATAACTTGCTTGTCATATCCTAAATGGCCTAGTGACTCGGCGACGACTCGCATGGGCAGTTGATAAGCCATTGGCTTCGGCGTTGTGAGTTCGATTCCCACACGGGACAATTTTTGTGTCACCCACATATAAATGTTCTTAATCTCGACGTTTATTCTCAAAGAGGGTTGATGTCAAGCGAGCGGCCGCCTGTAAAACAAACCTAGCCAATACAGTTTTAAACATGATTGACTGCAGATGTTCTGCCAAAAGTTTTTATCAAAAAAGTTACTAAATGACGTAGTACACCTCTACGTTGGAATGTGGGGAGTCCCTCTTTAAATGCAGCAAGTATCCACGCTTCGGGGAAGAATAAACCTTCGCAAATTCCGTCGCTGCTTTGCGGGAAGCGAGACCACTTCGTGTTGCCGTTCCGTCGAGTTTACATCAAACTGATCCGGTGACCCAAGAACCCAGTGCCTTTTAGTCGCCTTTTACCTCAGTCCTATTCTAAGATCCCGAGACCACGATACCGTCGATACCAAGCAGGGTCAACCCTAAATGACGAAACTGATATGCATTTACTTCTAGGCAGATTGTTCGAGATGGTAACAGAAAACTGTACCGACCACGAATGTTAGAAAAAGATTTTTCGCTATTAGGAATTTGAAACAGTTTATGAACACATTGTTAAAATAAAATATTATAATGATTATTTTAATTGACATTATAGTGCGTACGACGTAGAAGATTTGTTAACACCAGATTAAACTCATAACAATTTTATTTTAAAAAAATAACGCTTTTTTAACATTACGCTTTTACTTTTTCACACTACTCAAAGGAGAGCGTAATCTAAACTAACCGGGAAAATACACAAACACATATACTTGTCTCGTATGTGAATCGAGCATACGCTTACACAAAATGCACGAGCAAAGCCATAATTTTTTCGTATCACGTCTTCACATGTACCTGCATATTAACTTGCGAAATAGCATCTTTAATACAAACATAATAGCAAATTGAGCGGTTTATCCTCGTCCAATTAGTAATCTCGTCGGAAATGAAAAACAGCTGTACACTGTTTATATTGTTTCACGTATTATAGAAATGAGCCTCCGGATGTAAACAAGTAAAGGTTGTTTGATTGAGCACGCGCCGCGGTTGCGAAACCTCCGGTCCATTGTGTGTACTATCTACTCATCTGCTTGACCGTTTGTTCTCAATAAGCGGTGTGTCGACATGTCATTACATGGCATTATGTTCGAATGATGTTGTTTTATTTTATTCGATTAAAGTATAAAGAACAATGCCCATTTATGACCTGATTGTGTATAGAGGTGAAATAAATATTAAAATATAGCTAATTTCATTTTATAATAATTACACTAATCACAATGTTAAAAGAAGGTCGGGTTGATATTTCTTTACGCTTTTTTTACTTCAAGGGTAAACACTTTCATTATCAGGTTTTTAAATGTATGGGAAGTGGGCATTGTTCTTTGTCCGGTTAGGATTTTGTTCATTCCGTAACTCCTTTACTGCGGGAGGGCCACGAAGTAGCCACTGCTATTGCACGAATGGGCAGGCTCGTTCGGGAGAGCGACTGGGGCTAGTGGTGGCGCTGAGCGAATCCAGGGTCCTACGATGAACTTACGACGCTACTTCGGCCTAGTTCTAGATCGCTGATGGGATTTCTGCGCCCGCTTCGGGCGTCTAGCTCGGCAGGCTTTATTCGTGAGAAGCAATCGAAGACACCTGAAATGAGAGAGTGAATTTGCTTTGAAAACCTTTATGATACTCGTGTGATGTAAAGGTTGTGTGATCAGTCTTAGTATTGGAAGACGTTGCAATATTAAAGTGATAAAAATAATCTGTGATGAAATGTACTATCAATCGTTTCTTATATTTTAAGTTACCATAATATGTTAGGATCCTAAAGTGTGCGATCTTTATACCTATTATTTATGGATAGGTACGTGTATAATCTGATAACTGCACCTACTACAATTTATCTCCACTCCCCGAATTTGAACAAGCAGTTGAGATCGTTAACTAAATCTATTAACTTACCGAAGAAAAACAACATTTTGGGCGTATTCGAAATCGAGGTTTAGTTACAGGAAGGAAGCGCGCGCCGTGCCTCGACTGCAGAGCGACCGGCGTTTGTTCAGCTGCCCCGTTGTCTCAACGTTTGTGCCCAAGTACCGGCATTGTTCACTGTGCGCGCCGCCTGGCGCTTATGCCGTGCTGGTGTCTCGTCGTTTGCAACGTTTACAATGTACACGATTATTATGTAAAAGTAAAGTAAAGTATCAGCCTATACATGACCCACTGCTGGGCAAAGGCCTCCTCTGTACAGAGGGTAGGTCATAGTCGACCACGCGGCCCCACTGCGGATTGGCGGACTTCACATATCTTTGAATTCTTGATATTTTACTTCACCGCTGAGCTTCAGCACTTAAATTGACAATTTCATTGGTGCTGGCACCGGGGAGCGAACTCAGGTTGCTCGAGTATATTAAATTAAAGGCGAGCGCCCGGACATTGAGCTATCACGGCTCTCCTGAGCTATTCCTGCTCTCATTATTTTTGTATTTTAATTTTTTTTATTTTGATCGTTCATGTAGACCTTAAGGTGGCCTTTACAGATGCACTGATGAAGCCTAGCCTGTACCTCGTTTATAAGTGACTTAGCTCGAGGGCTCCCGAAGAAGTCGCGGTTCGCGCCGTCATTCTATGTGTATTATTAGTGTAGTGTACAGCTTGTGTAACGGGTCACGCTGTGTGAATTGAGCCCCTCAGCCAGAAGATCGAAAAAAAAAATCTCAAGCTTGTTTAGTTGTATTGTTTTTGTTAAGCTGAGCGCTGAAATGTAGATTTAACGCTCGCTGACTTTCTCTACCAGTCAACCTCCGTTGTGAACCGAAAAGTAGTCTACAGGCGCTAACCGGAGAATACATATAAACTTTTTTAGGCTTTTTTAGGCTAGAGGATTGCACTGTGTTCAAAAATCTCTGATATTACGAGTGTCATTGTTATAGCTGGCGGTCCTGGCGGTTGTTATACACATTTGTGAGCTATAAGGCTCTCCTGACATGGCGATAATCGGTTCCGGCGATTACTGGCTCCCATACCGAGGTTAATTTTCGAACGAAAGCATCCTAAGATACGTGTCCTCTTACATTATACTTGAGCACGCGCGACCCCTCAGCCACAAAGCCTTCAAGGCGTCTTGGTATCGGAATAAAACTCAGGCGTCTGAAAAACTGAGTCTACATTGTAAAGACCTTTGTGAAATGAACGTGGAATGAATATACCTTGCTCCGAAAGAAATAATACTACCATAAATATGACCACAACTTCTTTACAGGGTTCCGTACCCAAAGGGTAAAACGGGACCCTAAACGGATTTACTATATTCATTTAATCGTTATTTTTAATCTCAAACTGCTTGAGTTATGTACATGAATATAGCTATCAGATAATTGATAGCTATATTCATGTACATAACTCAAGCAGTTCCTTTATTTCTTTACAAATGAATCATAAAACATGCTTGAAGCATCGCCAAATTGTATTCGTCTTTCAGCAAAACAATGCACTCTCATTTAATGTGCCACATAAATAACTAAATTAAGGTTATGATAACAGTGTCAGAAAAATAATAATTTTATAAATTACTCACCTAATATAGCTACAATCAAACACAACTTTCTAAACCACTTAAAATTCTTATTACTTTTGGAGGTTTTAAAATAATATTCACATGCAATTCATTTGTTTATCTCGATGCCTTTCTGCATAAAATAATATAATAACATCACCTCAAGAAACACAATATCGTGGATAATTGAAAATTACGGAGGCATCCCTGTGAATATGAAAACTCAGCCTGTTTTTGGAGTACTATAAACTCTATATCTCGTCGGGAAGTATGGATATGGCACCAGATAGTTTTGGACATATCCGGATCGCAAATCTTCCGGGTCGGTACGTTACTGGGTCATGACAAACGCGGCCGCTTGCGGTCTGTCCATCAAAGAGGCGATA